GCAACTGGAACAATTACGGGCAAGAGACCAGAACCTCGATCCTGCACTATCAGGACAAGGTCAGGATATCTCCGCCGGAATACACATCACCTGGTTCCAACCAAACCCAAACCAACCGACCAAACACATCCTGAAGCAAGCACACCAGAATTCAGTGTTCCTCCTACAGAAGAAAACATCCCAAAGACCCGGTCCGGACGGACCATAAGAAAACCAAAAAGATTTGGCGAATGACTTTTGCGTGGGAAAAAGAGATGTAATAATATTGTTTTGTAAGTCCGAATAAACGGGGCAAGTAGGGGGACAAAAGAGGAAGAAGAGGACACAGCGCCCAGGGGATCTCAAAACGTTCTACACGTAGTGTTGCTTGTTACCCGGTACGACCGGTACAATCAGGTAAATACTACCACAATAAGTTCTTTTTTTTTTTTTTTTTTTTTTTTTCACCGGGAAACTTGCGACCGACGGAGCTCTCGAATACATGGAACTTTATGACGCCACTTACAGAAAAACGGGCAAAATGGCCACCGTTTTTCCTTTGAAATTTTCAGAACATCGCTTATAATTTTTGAACAAGATAGCGGTTAGCGCCGAAACTTCGGCACCCGGTTCGGACCGCTGGTCCTGCATTTGAATGGGGAAGGAGCGTACGGCGATGCGTAGATTATTTTTGCGGTGAAAAAATCGCTGCAAAATATTTTGAGGGGTACGCCGTACTTCAAACACCTAAGGTACACGTTTTCTAAACTTACTTGAAGTAGTACTTTCAAATGCACCTAAAGTACTTCCCAACCCTGCTTTCTGCGCTGTTTTACACTATGCTACCGTACCAACTAGCCCAACTTCCCACCCTTTATTTAGTGGTTCTGGCCGTGCCAACGCGCTGCGCTAGCTGTGCGAAGTCCTGGCGTGTGGCTGAGCGTTTTCCCGCCTTTTCTTTGCAGACGCGCGGCGACGCCAGCGACGTCAGCGACCGACGAGCCAAACGCTCGAGGCTGCCTGCGACGAGGCTAGCGCGTCAGGTGTCGCCATCTGGGGCACCTGCCAAGCACTACAAAGGTCGATGCGGGAACGGCATGGTGGCGGTATGGTCGCACAGCATGGACAAACGGTGAGCCCGCCGCGGCATTTTCAAATTGCGCCTTCTTCGATCGGTGGCGCTTTTGACTTTTTTTTTCTTCTTTTCGCTTTATTTTTCACAAAAGTTCGCCAAATGCTATTATACTGCTCACCATGGGGTATTATATAAAACGTGTGACGTTTGAAAGTTTGCGTCAGGCCCTTTAGTAATAAGAATCGGGCGTTAAGACCTCAAAGTAGAATGGTTCGTTAGCTGTTGCGGGAAACAGATTAAACAGGATATTGGTTTCGACCGGATCGTTCGAGGTTTTGGCTTTCATAATTCTGGTCACCGGTTTATCGTTATTCGAAAACCGGTTTATCTGGTGGTTTCTGAGTTGTTAGAAGGTTATTTCCACTTTACGCAGTGTGCTTTATGCAAAAGCTGAATATATTTTTTTCTAGATCACAAAGTATCAATGGTAAAGGTGAGTGCCCAATATCACGCACGCTGTTCGGAATTAAAAAGGTGTTTGTATGAGTTCCACGCGGCATCATGTGTCCCCGGAACACATCCGATTGGGAACATTCGGTATCGGTGCAATCGTAAGACGTAAAGAAAGGAGGAAAGACGATGGAGGTGTTCTGTAGGGTTAGCATACATCACCCTTAACGAGCAGACCCGGTGTTCCAAACCGTCTCCGTACAATTTGGCCCTTCGGCGGGTTCCTATCCTTTATTCCCCTTTGATCAGTGCGGTTCATTCATCTGCACTTAGGTCATCCCCAGGCACGGATGATGCACGGTGCCTTACGGCACTTGTGGGAGGGGACGTACGAGGACCGCACTTCTACAAATTTATATCGGATTGCAACACCGGTCTTACGGTCTTCGTCATATTAATAGGGGAGTACCACAAGGAGGCGTCCTCAGCCCCATGCTTTTTAGCATTTCGCTCATAGGCCTGAAAATTCTTCCAAAAACCGTTCACGTGTCTATATATGCGGAGGATACCTGCTTATGGGCTTGCAGTAGATCTCTGTACATCAACAAAGCAAGACTACAGAACTCTATTAAAATTACCGCACGGTACCTACACCTCCGAGGTCTGCACTTATCGGCCACTCTAAAAACAAAAACAAAAAACGGTGTAGTTTTTACACCCCTTGTCACAAATATGACACCCCAAATCTTCAGTTCGGCGTACAGCGCACTGCCCTTGAACCGAAGATACCAACTTTAACGAGCAGCTTAATGTACGTATAACTCACTGCAAAGAAAAAAAAAAAAAAAAAGAAAAAAAAACGTAGTTGGGGTTTTTTTGGTTGTACGGCAAAGCCGCTGTAATTTTCTTTTGAAGTCTCTGATAAGTACTTTAGCTGTTTAATATGTTATACCCCACCGGGTCATCAAGCCTCTCGTAAAAGTTGGTGAAGTCAGTTGGACGTTATTGCACTGTACGTCGAATAGAAGTTTTGGGGTGTCATATATCTGACAAGGGGTGCAAAACCTACACCTTTTTTTTTACGGACAAGTCAGCAACAATGGCATTCGCAAAAAAAAAAAAAAAAAAAAAAAAAACACGGATTATTATTTTATTGAAATAGACTGAGAAGAAATTGTATACCTCACGGAACATACTTTCCTGGGTGTCACTCTCGATAGGCAGCTGACCTGGAGCCCCCATGTACAACGCCTTAAAAAGAAGCTATTTTCTTCATTATAATCATTTGTGGAACCAAATGGGGATGCTCTTCCTCCACACTTCTCGCCCTTTATAATGCCTTATTTCTCGAACTTCTGCGCTACAGCCTGCCTGTTACGCATAATAATCTCGCGTACTCTTCTAAAAGAACTCCAGAGTATTCAAGCACAAGCTCTTCGCACAGATTTAGGGTTGCCGAAAGGCACTTCTAATTTGGGATCCCTTGCGGAAGCACTCGCGATTTCACCGGCCATTTTAAGAATGCAAAAAACGTTACGAGCTCATCTTCGTCAGAAATCTCGTACATATAAACATCAGCTAACAAATATTGTGTAACAGAAACATCATCACCTGGCTTTGCACAAGTTATCACTCTTGGAGGATTACATTCCCACTTCTTTTCAAGCTGCGGTAATTTCAAGCTATCCACCTCGAGGTACCCCCACTAAGAAATTAGGAAGAGTATTTTGGGAATCGCTTCTAGTAAAACAATGCCCGACCCCATGATTACGCAGACAGTGCTAGAATACATAAACCTAACTTATGCCTCATTTAGACATGCCTTCACCCACGGGTCTAGAATGTCAGCATCATCTACCCTGGGAGCCTACATTCCGTCTCTGGACGCATGCTACAAGCAAAGTTGAGCCACGTTACATCGTCAACACCGTCGCAACTCGCAGCCATTCGAGCAGCTGTTGCACACGTGGGAACCGCGAGTCTCCTAGTTTTGGGGCTATCTTTGTGGACTCTAAATCTGCTCTATACACCCTCTTTACGATGAAGAAATGTAGCCTGAACTTGCAACTCGCAAATGATATTCTAAAAGCAGCTTGCCAAGCTTCATGCAAAGGGCACCAGTTTATTTATACAGTGGATTCCTGGTCACCCTGGTATAACCAGAAGTGTTATCCATGACAGAGCCGCTCCAAACGCTCATGCGAGCACTATCAGTTCCATTATCCATGTCAGATGCAAATAACTTAGATTAGAGATATTGTCCAAGAAATAGCATCTTCTCTTTGGAGAAATCCTCGATATCATTACTCCTATCTTTACAATATTGCCCCCAAACTTCATTTTCCGGCTCCACAAGGACTTCCAAAGGCAGCCGAGACGGTCCTACATCGCTTGAGACTGAATGTAGCACGCTTGAGACTGAATGTAGCAAACAACAACAGCTACTTTCATACAATTTGTAGACCTGAGTCGTCTGAATCTGCTTCGTGCTGGGTCGCACATAACATCGAACATGTATTGTGTGAATGCAAGGAGTACAGCCGTGAAGGGGAGCCTATGAAGACAGACCTGAGGCTACAAAATAAACAGGACGTAAACATTCGTATTCGAATGGCTTGGTCCATGGATTTCTGTTGCTGCTGAATGGTATAAAGCCACGAAAGCTGTTCGTGGCTTTATACCATCTGTTAACGAGTAACAGCTACTTGTTAACAGAAGAAACTGTAGGGGAGCAGACGTACAGCAATGGGCAATGGCATTATCTAGTAAAACATTTTCGTGACTTTTTGTTTTGTTTATTTATCTTTTGAAACTTTGCGTTTGTGCGCTTCCTCTCTCTATCTCTTTCTGTTTACCTTTCTCTCTTCTATTTTTGATGATTTTTGCTTCCGTTCATTTCATAATGTAGCCAACCAGCATTAGGCGTTGGTTGACATCATTGTTTAATAAACGCCTAGCCTCCTCCTTCGTCGGCATATTTCGGGTGTTTCCTCTTTAGTATATTCCTAACGAGCGTGTTGTTAAAGTGTACTAGATGATAAAAATAATAAAACATAGAGGACGAAACACAGACTAGTACATTCTACCCATTTGCGTTTCGTACATGTGGCGGGTTCGAATCCCGACCGAGGTGCCCGCAATCTGACGGAGGCCTATTGCGGAGAAGGCGCCGTGTAACCGAGCTTTCGGTTGCACGCCAAAAGATCCCCAGGTGGTCGAAATTAATCCTCAGTCGTCCGCTGGGGCGTGCCAGATGCCCGTCGTTGGTTTGACACGTAAAACCCCCAAATTTTTTTGTGTGTTTCGTACATGTACTCGTCTGTGTTTCATCCTCTCTATGTTTTATTCTTTCTGTTATCTAGTCATTTTTAGTGGCCAAGAAAAGACGATGAGCTTCTGCATTGTTATCTGAGGGGCGTTGCGCGAGCACGCTCGCTTAACTCCTCCGATAACGAGTAACGCTCTAGATAATAAGTGAAGATAATAAGTGACTCACGTGATGTCCCAAAGTCACGGTGCCCCCTTCCCCCCTTGGCGCATACGTCTCTGATGCTTACTCTTTTGGGCGGTAAATCTAGAAAACGTATTATTATCGTGTTTCCTTTTTTTGGAAAGGGCGAGGGGGTTGGATCAATAGATTGTATAAAAAAAATGCTGGCCGCTTATCAGAATTTTGCGTCCTCTATTCCTGCCTTTGGCGTTGTGCAAGGTTCCATTGTTGTAACCATGATGTTATCACGTTCTTTATCGGTATATTACCTTTTCAGCATAGATGTCCATTCCGTGACCACTCGACCTTGGGCTACATTATCGTTCAACAGATTACTCTAGTTCCCCTTTGCACAGCACATGGGCTCCGTTCACGCGAATGCGACCGAGGTGCAACGGATCGAGAGGGAACCAACCACGGCATTTAACCTCCTGTCTTTTTTTCATTTTTTTTTCAGTAAATCAGAGTTGTCAAATATGGATTCGATGCACTACGGTCTCGTGCATGCAAAAGCCATGCATAATCCTGACCGTCGCATATATATATATATATATATATATATATATATATATATATATATACACATACACACATCGAAGGAGGAACTGGTGGAACAAACCCGACAATTAAAACCTTCGGAGCTATTTGGCATTCCGCCACTAAACCAGGCGAACTCTCTTGTAGTCGCTGACAACTTAAGAAACTCCGGGCTTGGCCCAGTAGGCTCATGTATCCCATTGTCTGCGGAGCGACAATGACTTGCACTGGTTCGCCATTGGTTCGCCATACCTTCCGTTTCTTGAGCTGTCGGTGAATAGAACGAAGCGACGTAATCATCACCCCAAACTTTCCCAAAGCGTTTCTTTTCTTTCATTTTTGTTCAGTTAATATAACCTGCACAAGTTAACCGCTCTCGATGATTGCACTGTTCTGCAACGCTGAAGGAGAAGCCATTATTTGGCATAGTATACTGGAGAATCTGCTGAAGCGTCATTCTCAATACCATAGCGCAAACAGATTCTTTTTTTTTTATGTTTAGACATATTTATAAGTCTTGTTCTTCGACGAACTCCCTCCGTAAATCACAGCGATTGGCTCTCTCAAGTGCTTTCCGGGAGAAGCAGACGCTGCGGGTTTCTTAGTGTGTATACCGTTTAGTTCGGTCTTAATTTTGGGAACGTACCGTTTAATGCAAGGTGGCAAGGACGTCTGACGCACCATGGCGAAGTACTGTGTGTGCCAGCTACGAATCTCGATCGAAACCACGAAACAGTGCGCGGATTACACGTCAGGTACACTTCTCTACGTAGCATTTTTTTAAATGTGCAAAATAATTAAAAGAAGGCGTATAATCTAATCTCAAAAGAATCGGTTTAAGAATCTTCGTTAATGGGAGTTGTATAGCTTATATTATACGTGCTACCAATTTCTCGAGCTTTAAGTACACCCGGACCAAGAATATAGAGCAAAATAAATTTGTTTTCACTTGATCAGTCAAACATTGATTTGAATTGAATTGAAGTGAAGCGGAAGGCCCAATGGCATACAATTCCCATCCGTTTGACATTCTTGTATCTCAATCTCACTGTATTCACGGCTAGGCACTGGCTCAGGTGTGTCTCTAATCGCCGGTCGAGTCGATCTGCGGTCAACGCACCGTGAAGGAAGCGACTTTCAAGTGCACACTAGAGCAGCCTCTTCTACCCTCCACTACCGTGATGATCGGTTGTCAGTCCCAGAGATTGCAGGAGCTGGATGCCTATATCGCTGCTTGTTTCGGTGCATCGGCCGCGATGCCGTCAGTTGATGCCATGGGGACGTTAACCCCTCTACTCATAGAGCGAGCCATTATTGCGTCCGAGCTGATAATACGTATATGTCACGTAGTCTGAACAGAAAAAAGGTTTAACAATAGACAGTTTTAGTATAGCGTTGCTGGATTTTACGTACGCAATACGCAATAGTATAGCGTATACGCTAAAATGACCTGCTCGGACCGAATTTAGTTGTGCGTTACGTTTTCGAGTGAACACCGCGCATGATCTTGGTTAAATTTGCTGGAGCTGTAGAATTCCGCGTGCTTATAGCGCAACCATGCTCCTGGAAAGAAATATTGAAAAAGAAAAAGTGTCCAAACATTTTATTTCAGATTAAACCAAGCCACAGCTGCCTCGTCAAGCGCGCTTTTCTGCGGGGTACAGAGGCTACGAGTACGAGTGCGTAGCCAAATTCGATCACGGAGCCTCCGTCAGTCGTCCCGTGGAAACGGCACCTTTTATCAATGCTATCGCGGAATGAAATTCATGACCCTGATGTCCAGTGCATAGCGAGAACTTCGGCGATTTCTTTTAGAGTGGTTCGTCCGTCGGCGATGAACTGTAGGAATAGGCTTAGCGTTGAGCAGATCGCAACGTCGACGCACACTGCAAGCGGCGAAAGTTTCCACTGCGCACTCCTTCAGCTGCAGGGCGATCTGATCCGACCGTCGTAGGTCCCAGAAAGAATCGCCGAGCTGAACACCACGAAATTTCACCTAACACAGAACTTCGAAAACACCACGTCGCCCTTGCTGCGCCAGTCGAGGCAACCGCCATCTTGAAACTGGCGCTCTCGTTGGGTCCGAGATCTCTCCAGAGCGTCCCGCAGGGCCCTCTAGCTAGCAACGCAAAATCCCCAGTGTTGCGTGCGTACGCAATACGCTAGCCCTTCTATTGCGTTCTGCGCATGCGCACCCACGACCCACAATCTTCTTGCGTACGCAAAGCTATAGCGTACGGTCCACTAAAACTGTCTATTAAGTACCGCTCGGATTTATGAAAAAAGGTATCGTGCGAGATATATTTTGTACTTCGGAATGTCACCAACCATTGGTGAAAAAAGAACAGGCGATAGGTTCGTTTGTTAGGCTCTAACGACCAAGTGTTCTAATTTATTCGTCTAAGAAAAAAGCGAAATTATTCTGTTCTTAGTTGGCTGTAAAATTGGTATAAGCGAGCAGTAGGACCAGTATTTTTGTATGCTTTATAAATGAGAGGAGGAAACTATCGGATAATTTACAATTTTTGAATTTACAATACTTTCAATTGTGTTAATGGCGATGAGAATATATAAAGCACTTCCCCTCAAAACTGCGAGAACTGCATGAATGCGGAACTGTCTGCGCTGTCTGGCGCTGAGCACGAGTACTTAGCCATGATCAGTGTCACACCACAGGGTGTTCTTGTTATGCCTTAACATATATTTTCAGCCTCGACAGTTGCGGCGATTGACTTCCTTTCTGTGGGGAAAGTAGACACTCCAGATATTCTTAAAAGTGTAGCAACCGTTGCTGACGCTGTGGTACGAGGCTGCGCCTGATCCGGCCACGTCAAAGTGTCAGCGGCGGCTGCTACGGTAACGCAGCACAGCGACGCGACGCAAAGCAGTCTTTGCTGCTACGTGTTTCGCCCATACCATCTAGAAGACAGGGCCTCTGCGCATGACGTCATCTTTTGTAGCACCCCGACTCAAGCGACAAAACACGCTTAAGTTCGACAAGAGCCGCCGCAAGGTGGCAGACGCGTTCCTCTTTGCGTCGACGCGTGCTAAAGAATCTTTTTGCTCTCTAACATGGGCGCCGCCATGTTTGTTTATGCCGACGCCAGGACGTGGATTCGGGCTGCGCTTTTTTTGCGAGACCCCGTTTTTTAAGTAGTACCTTCGCAAGTCTCGTAGTACATGAACGTCAGAAATGCACAGTCACCGACTCACGAAGCTCTAACAACACAGATGCCAAAAATTCTGTAAAAAAAAAAAAAAGATTTTGCCTGATACGCAGTTTCTTTTTTCACGAAAACATGAGTTTGATTTCATGATTTACCATTTTTTATCGCTGGGGGCAAGAATTTTCGACAATGGTCCATATTCCGACGTTGAAGAATCCAATACAATCCAATGCGGTGCGCAACATCAGAGCGCCGAGCTCTTATTGGCTCTGACTGAGCCAATCAGAGCCAAGGCGGCCTAAGATACACAAAAAAATGGCGGAACTTCCTGTAGATCTGCTATAGCAGAGAATGCTTTGATACGAAAATTCTTAATCCCAGAAGTGTGTCCGTCTGTACGCTTGTTCGCCCGACGTCCGTGCGTTTGCGCGCCCGCGCATAAACGTTCCCTCAAGATTTTGGAGATGAATTTGACGTAGTGTATAATTGTGTGTACCATAATCACGCGGTTAATTTTACTATGAGTCGCATGGTTCATGCGAGTATGGGTCACCTAGCCGCGTATGACATCGCGTGACCACGTGAAATGACGCCACAAGACACCACTGCGTCGCGTAACTGTAGCTTACGTGATCACGCAACGAACAGTGATTACATGATCACTTAACGAATGGAGAGTGTACGATCACGTAATCACCATAAAGGTTACGTCACCACAGCACGTGAAAATGACGCCCCGAGATACCACCGCGTCACGTACCCGCTGCTTAAGTTATGACCTAATATATAACACTTGCACCATTACGTACACTACGCCGATTAAGTGATCACGTAATTGCCGTAGCTTCGGTGATCTCCCCGCGTCCATTAAGGTGACACTTACCGCGTTACCCATAAGGTCACGTGACATCATGATTCACCTCTACATTCAGCGGAAAAGGGATCTCGGCACTATGCCTAATGCATCGCATGTATTACAAGACTGCAATATTTTTTAAATTTTTTTTTTATGTGGTTTGTCTCAGGCCGGGGGACAGGACGGAGGACGACCTGGAGTCCATCTATGGCCGCCTGCGCAGCATCAAGGCCTTCCACCGCCTTCACCCGGTCTTGCTCCAGCAGCTCTGCTTCTTCGGATACTACGAAGACCTCGACAGGGGCGTCACACGTGAGCAGGAGCTTCATGGTTTTTACACGGCAAGCGAAGAATAAACCCGCAGTCACGCAGCTCTATACGTCATGCAAAAGAGACCGTCTGCTCTGAAGCGGGTTTGTTCCTTGTTTGAGGGTCTTGTCACATCGATCGTACCAAAACATTTTCGAAGCACGTACGAAGCAAACATTTTTCGAACAGGCGTGTTTTCGGATACTTCTTT